TGGGGGAGGGCCTTCTGTCCAGCAGGGAGGTGGGGCATGCCTGGTAAGACTCAGGACTTACAGAGAAGTGGGACTGAAGCCCTGAGCCTTAGCAGGTGCCTCCCATAGGGTGTCCTTGTTGGCGCTTCCCATCTCCTGAATATCTGAAGACTATCATATGTGGCTCACAGTCAATACATTTAGCCATCCCTAAACTAGAATCCCCAGATCCCTTTCCAAAGTAACCCTTCCTAAGTAGTCATTTCCTATTTTATGTGCAATTGATTGTTCCTTCCTAAGTGGAGTACTTTACTCTGGTTCTTAATGAATTTTGTCACATAGCCTACTGACCAGTTCCTCAGATAACTGAATTTTAGTTCTACACCCAAAACACTTGCAACCTGTTCTAGGTATTGGTATTGTCTACAAACCTTTTAAGTGTATACTCTATAAGTATTACCAGGCTCATTGATGAAAATATTGAACAGCACTGTATCCAGGACTGATCTTTGCAGGACCCCACTCAATATGTCCTTCCCGTTTGACTGTGAACCACTGATAACTACTCTCTGTAAATGCTTTTCCAATCAGTTAGGGGCCTATCTTACAGTTCTAGGTAAACTTTATTTCCCTAGTTTGTTTATAAGAAGGGCGTGCCAGACAGTATAAAAAGCCTCACTAGAGTCAAGATCTACCACATCCACCCCACTTCTCCCATTCATAAGGCTTGTTACTCTGTCAAAGTATGGATGCTTATTAGAATACTCATTACTAAATGGGCACACTTGACCTCAAATCGTGTGGCTCCCTATTTTTTGTGGCGTTTTCCTGTCACATTTTCCTATGTTAAAAATCTCTCTGCTGTTGCTGTGTGAAACACCTAAACAAACAGGGAAAACTGTTCCCATGTGGAGCCTCTGGGTCTTCATAAGGCTCTATTTGGGTATAATAAACTCTATTTGGGTATAGTAAGCTGCTTAATGGGAGATGCATTCTAAAGGGACAAAACCAAAGAGTGAGAATTCTGTAGGATAATAAATCTGGAAAAGCAAAATTATAAAGGTACACTTCCTCTTCCTTCAGATATAATAAACTGTCTTATTGGTACCACTTGTAAGCGCAAAGTCTAGCTTTTTATATAAGGAAACTATACCCAAAATGCTGTCAAACATATACAAGTGGGGAATAAAATGACTTTCCTTCACAATTCAACATTAGTTATGTTTATCTTTAAAAGTATTACTTCTAGCATGAGAAAAGAGAGACTTCTGTAGAAGATGTGAAATTAAATTGGCTATGTACCTTGAATTTGTTTTAAATAGAACTTTGTTTAAATTCATAATGTATCTAGAATTTTAACACAGAAGCTGTGATGCACAGAAAATTAAATTCTATTTTGTTATAAAATATTTTTTAATTAAATATCATTAACCATGGACTAATTCAGCATATATTAAGGATGTTAAATTTCGATTAATCAGCTAATCGAGTAGTCAATGCAGTTTCCATCGATTAGTCAGTAAGGAGGGGCGCTCACTATCCCACTCCATCTGTCCCTTTGAAATGTACAAGAGCCACCTGTGGCTCCTGTGTGTTTGAAAGGGAAAGATTTTTTAATTAAATATCATTAACCATGGACTAATTCAGCATATATTAAGGATGTTAAATTTCGATTAATCAGCTAATCGAGTAGTCAATGCAGTTTCCATCGATTAGTCAGTAAGGAGGGGCGCTCACTATCCCACTCCATCTGTCCCTTTGAAATGTACAAGAGCCACCTGTGGCTCCTGTGTGTTTGAAAGGGAAAGAGAACATTGCCAGCGGGACCAAAGCAGTCCCTGCTAGAGCAGGTTCTCCTCTGCATCTCTTCCTTTGAAATGTACAAGAGTCAGGTGGCTCTTGTATATTTCAAAGGGAGAGGCGCAGCAGTCAGACCCGTGTGAGCGGGACTGTTTCAATCCCAGCCTGTGCTGTTTACCCGCTGCCCTCTGCCTTTCCTGCTCTCCTGTGGAGATGATGATGGGGGGGGGGGGAACTGGCTTTTAAGCTGGCTCCTGCCATCAATGACTCCCCTATTGGCTCTTAATCCATTTAAAAGGCAGAGCTGCAGCGGGGTTAGCTCCGGGGCGGGCACTAACCCTGCTGTAGCTCCCCATTTGCCAACTAATAGACTAGTTGATGGAAAATCCATCGACCAGTTGATTAAACTAAATTTAACATCCCTAATACGTATTTAAGGAATCCTCTTCAGGTACCTGCATAAAAAGTCACCATCGCATTCTGGCACTAGTTCGTTTGTGTTTTATCTTTTCTATTTCCTTTGAGAATTACTGTTTGGGTTATAAGCTGTATGTTTCACTGAAAACTGTTGTCTGAATTGCTAGTCTTGGAGATAAGCTGCTTAATGGGAGATGCATTCTAAAGGGACAAAACCAAAGAGTGAGAATTCTGTAGGATAATAAATCTGGAAAAGCAAAATTATAAAGGTACACTTCCTCTTCCTTCAGATATTGCATGCTTTCTTTGAAATTCAGTCTAAAAAGCAGTCTAGCATTGATCTGCATAGCATTTGTTAATTGACTAATGATGTTCAAACATTTTTCTCTTTGGAAACAATATGCACATTTTCCCTGACCAATGGTATTCTGACAATTTTATAACATATGTATGTGATGAAAAAGTCAGTCTAATATTTTAGGACAATGTAAATAATATTTTCAGAGAACCCATATGATTTGAAGGACATACCAAATTCTGCTCTGTCCAATGTTATGATTTCAGGATCATCATCATAAATACCTAGCAAGAAAAAATACAAAGTTAGCAACTATGTTTTTCTTTTTTAATCTTTTGTAATCTTTTAAATACTCCTGTGCTGCTTTGACAGAATGAAATTTGTAAAAAAAATGATGGTGCACATTAACAAGGTGAAAATTGTTATCTTGTGACATGTATTCAGTGGTATGTGTAAGAACTGAATTGAGACCAAATTATTTTCAGGAAACAAAATGTCCACATCACTATGGGCATCATCACAACTGGGAAACTTTTGGCATTCTCAGCACACAAACCAATAATTGAGAAGGCACAGTAGACTGAACTGGCTGTTTACACAAAGACAAGGTGCATCTATGTCACAGATGAGACAATATGAAGTGCCTGAGGGTTTGAGGGTCAGCATGATTCAGTTGGCATGGCATGGCACTGGGACTCTAGATTCCTAAATTTTAGTCCCAGGTCGGTCACTGGCCTGTTGTTTGACCTTTGCCAAGTCATTTTCTCTTTCGGTGGCCCAAACCTTTCTGACCCTTTGTCTGTTTTGTCTACTTAGATTGCCAGCTCTATAGGGCAGGAATTGTCTTAGTGTAGTTTGTACAGTGTCTAATACTATAAACCCAAATGTCAGTTAAAACCCCCTAGGTACTACTATAATATAAATAAGACAGACACAACTTCAGTTTCCTCCAAGTCACAATAAAATTAAAATTCAGAAGGAAAAGAAAACTAAGAGCATAATTTTACATACTTAAAACTAATGCTCAATAAAAGTTAATCTGACATTTTACATCAACCACTTTTGTCAAAGTGCAGACTCAAATGTGACATTTTAAAATTATTGTAACTAGTAAAACAATGTTAAATTACACACACACACGTAATGTACGTATCTCTTGTTTAATTTAGGTGTGTTCAAGCATTAAAGTAGTGCTTAGATTTCTTCTTGTATGAAAAGTTGGCTTTCTCCCATTGTGTTCTGAGAACTTTTTTAGGACTAGACTGCTTTAGCAAAATACAAGTGATATCTCCTTTACTTGTGATATCTAATTCACCAAAAAAGGTCATTTCAGCTTCCATATTTATAGCATGGTGGAAATCACCATGGCAGTCACTGTTTCCTATTTTCCAAATTAGCTACGTATACTACAATAGCTCTGGTAACACTTCCTGGCTGTCTAATTCCCAGCAAATATCTGGACAATTTTTGTTGGAATGATTTTTTATTTCAAAATCATTTTTGGTACTACCCTATTGCTCTTGTGTACCCTATTGCTCTTATTTGCTGGTATAGATACACTGCTATCTAATAGGACTCTGGGAATTGTTTCACAGAACTGAGCTCTTTATGAATAAAGTGTAATAAATGAGTTGGAGAAAATTTGTTATGGATTTCCACTATAAAAGATTATCTGCAGGAACTGAAAAGAAAAACTCCTCCCCTTGTATTAAGTTAATACAACACAATATTTGATTGGAAATGAACAAAGATTAATTAATACACACACTTTAACTGAGCAGCAGCAAAGCAAATAAACACAATATATCTTACCAAAATCATAGCGATAAAAGTTCCAACTCTCGTATCGACCTCCTTGTTGTTGGTCTTCCAGACCTTTCTCTCCATATTTATCATACTTCTTCCGTAGCTCTTCATCTTTTAATACTTCATAAGCTCTATTTATTTTCAAGAAGTTTTCATGAGCAGTTGGATCATTCTATCAAAAGAAAACAACAATTTGTAAAAGTTTAATATTTTTCATTATACTTGAGATAAATAATCAGCAATACATCTGTTTCAGTATCTCCATAACTCTGAATGTTTTAAGTGGTTTCTCAGTGGAAATTGCTATAATATGGAAGTCTCCACGTAAGACACCAGTGTTGATAACGAGGTAGAGTAACATAGAAAGTAAAGTTAGAAAGTTTTTTAGGTTTTTTTTTTTAAACACAAATATGTTAGTGATTTATTTCCTTAGAAATAGATGTTGAGCTTGCACTATGTTATTACAATGCAATTTTCACTTAAGAAAACACTTACATGTCTTGCTATAATATGGAAGTCTCCACGTAAGACACCAGTGTTGATAACGAGGTAGAGTAACATAGAAAGTAAAGTTAGAAAGTTTTTTAGGTTTTTTTTTTTAAACACAAATATGTTAGTGATTTATTTCCTTAGAAATAGATGTTGAGCTTGCACTATGTTATTACAATGCAATTTTCACTTAAGAAAACACTTACATGTC